TCCCTCCCTCCCTTCCTTCCTTTCGAAGGGTTTCACACAGACAAGGCTGGCCTGGAACTAACTAAGGGCTGAGGATAGACTTAAACATCTCATCTCCCTGCCTCCACCTCTGAGTGTTGGGATTATAAATGTTCGCCATTATACCCAGATTATGGCAGGGGAAATTAATCCCCGGGATTCAAGCATGCTAAGATTAACCTTAACCCGTAGGTGCTTCTCCAACCTGACAATTATTATTGTCTTAATACCATTTCCCTGTCATTTTAAAAAACAAACACAAAAATGGAGTCAGTCTGTTGACTCATGTCTGTAATCCCAGCACTCAGAAGGCAGAGTCAGGAGGATCTCTGCAAGTTCGAGGTCAGCCTGGCCTACAGAGCGAGTTCTAGGACATCCAAAACCTCATGGAAAGACCCTGTTTCAAAAAACAAACAACAACAACAATAAAAATCAACAACAAACAACAAAACCAAACAAGCAAATGGTGCAGGAGAGGTGGCTCAGTCCTCAGAGCACTGCCTGCTCCTGTAGGACTAGAGTCCAAATCCCAGCTCCCAGCCAGCAGTTCAGAACCACCTATGTAATCCCAGCTCCTGGGCATCCTCTTCTGACCTTTGTTGGCAGTTTTACTTACACAGATATACACATACACATAAATAAATAATAAAACTTAAAAGGACCTAAAACTCACCAGAGAGAGAGACAGAGAAACGAGAGAGAGATTAACTTTTTAAAAGTATAGCTAAAAGTAAAAAGTGAGAAAAGTACATATTACTGCGATGATGCTAAGCTCCAAAAATAAAAAAGAGGAGACAGACAGACTGCTGAAGGTTAACATTAACTTGGGTGGGACATCACTGTGCAGATCAGTCAGCAGAAATGGTGATAAGTCTGGGCCCCTCTCATCCTTTTTCAGTTTCTTCTTAATAAAACATGTCAAATTTAAGTGTGAGCCCCTTTCAAACTGACAATAGTGTTATGGCTAAGGGAGATCATATAACTAAAGAATTTCTGGTCTGGTTAAAGTGAAAGAATGAGCTCGCTTTATGAGCTGACCAGTTCCACAGCGAAATCCTAACTGACTGCCATTAACTCCACGGCGTAGCAACCCTGGCCACAGGCCCCGGCTAACCGGTCAGGAGGAAGAGCTAAGCCACCTTCCAACCAGACATACCTACCACTCAGCAGGCAGCTGAGACTATGGGCTCAGGTTTCTCCCAGTGCCCCAAGAGGAAGCAGCGGCAATGCCCATTGTATTGTGGGATTACACGGTGGAAGAGAGCGGTGCAATTGGTACAACAGGCTTGCAGTGCCAAGTCGGTGAAGATTCAGAAAGCTCAGTGGGGTATAAAAATCTTTATCAACTTTCCCATATACGTTAACTACTCCCAATAAATTCTCACTAAAACAGTGTAAACCACTAAAAGATATCCTTTATCTTGATGGTTCGATGTTCCATTTTTCTTCCTTATTTCTTAAGTAAACTATGAGCTTCTGGAAGCTTGTCCCTGCCCCACATCTAGAAGTCAGTTTAGGCAGTCTGATATCACAGGAAAGAAAAATAACGCCAACAAAACCAACAAAACCCCAAGCACTGGGAAGTTTATCAGTCAGGAGTACAAAAAAATTCAACCGACAGGATCCTGGAGTGTCTGGGTGGGACTGATCCCCATGAACAGAACTCAGACTACTTCCGGAGACGCCTCCTGTGATGTCCACTGTGAAGCCATCTTCACTAGCCGCCTGGCTATCAGCTGGCCTTAATGCAGAGAGAGCAACAAAACCTTGGCCAGATGTTTGCGACATTTCTTCCCCGTCTGTCATTAGAGCAGCATCCCCTAAAATGAGGAAGGACCGTCTTTTGCTTTAATGTGGTGACTAAGTAAAACAGATTCTCTGTTTCTAAAAGCTAGTATCTCCAAATAACAAGAAAGAACAGATACATAAACTCTAGCTCCCCGTGCAAGCGCACCACGCTTCTTTTATAAGGGGGACAGTCCGCTGTCCCTCCACGTAAGAATGGACTTCTACACAAATATAAACTCGACCTTAGACCTGGTAGTTGGAAATTTCATGCCCATGACCACACGCAATTCCCGAGCGGAGGAGCTAACTAACTTTATAATTACCAGGGCACTTCATCAATAACTATAGTAATTACTGCTAAACTTGACAAGTCCACTCTGTGTGTGAACTAATCTCCCGGGGCTTGCGTTCCTGATCTCATTTCATGTATGCTTCCCACCTGTTTCCACACCATGGGCCCTCAACCGCCTCGGCACCTGTGAGGACCATGCGCCTGAGATGCCCTTATTGACTGCGTTATGTTCCGGCGAAAGCCAGGATTTGATTTAAACTTAGGCAAAACAGTTGGCGCCTTGCCAACATTCTCACAGCCCTGCACAGGGCTTTAGCAAGATCAACAACACCCTTGCAAGGAAGATTATGTCAGGAAAAGGAGACTTGAAATCAGTTGTGTGACAGACCTGGGGTTTGTCATACGATCTCATTACAGGGTCCCTGGAGCTTCCGAAATGAGAATCAAGTTCAACTGCTCTTTCTACAAGCAGTTTGGATGCAGGAAACTTTTTCTGCTTCTTCTTCTTTTTTAATTTTAATTTTTTTTAACAGACTTGAGTTTCCTATAAGTGAACATGACACAACCCAAATTGTTGGTTTATGTCATCAATTCATCTGCGGTCTTAAAAATCTTCGAATGGGCTAGGGATGGGGAAGGTCGGGAAGCCGACGGAGCGCTTTTCGGACTGAGGGACAGTCACAGGCAGTGGCAGGAGCCCGTGATGCTGAGCTGCCTTCCTCTGCTCTGCCTTGGGTATGAGTGAAGCGATGTGGTCACTCAGTAGGCTTCGTTGTTGGGAAAACACAGTATTCAGGGAGCAGTGTTAGAAGAAAAATGTTTTCTGTATGACCTTGTGATTTTGCAGCAAGCAAGTTAAGACTGTTCTGGAGTAAAAATTACTAATGCCCACTTAGGAAACACCACTGAGGACAAACAGGCAAATCTCTCTCTCTCTCTCTCTCTCTCTCTCTCTCTCTCTCTCTCTCTCTCTCTCTCTCTC